CGTTGTCGCATCCCACACTTCCCCTCCCTCCTCCTCCTTCGCCGTTCTCGTTATGGAAAAGCTCTCAGGCTGCAGCCTCAGTGGGCAAACAGCCAGCCTGTTGCCACGGCTCCTATACATAACCGCAGAATAGAGGGAAGTCCAAAATTAAAAACATTGTTATCCCTGCGGCTTGGGGCCACAGCGAGCCGGAGTGACAGGCTTATTTCATCGTGACGTCTGGGGTGATCTTGGCTTTGGCCTCTAGTCTGCGGCCCCTGCAGACACTCTATTCAGAGCTGCAGTCCGGGACCTTTTTGGGACCAGGTCCAGTCAGGAGGACCGCAATCACAAAGCCTGTACAGAGTCCCAGAGAAAAGCATATTGTTACCAGATTCCTCGCTGTGCCAATGGTGAGTGGGAATTTCAGTCAATGACCCCCCTTTTTTTTTCTTTTTTTCCCAACTCAGTGCGAGCCCCAACATGTCCTTGTGAATGAATTTGAATATAATGTACTATTAGGGTTGCCATGGTGATAGCTGTCGTCGTGTGTGGATGTCAGTTGCCATGCAACCAGTAGGAAGCTAAGCTGCTATGAGTACAGTGCTAAGCTGTCGATGTACACCAGAAGAGGAGCTGTGATACATTCCTGCACATGACCAATTATTGTTAATGCTGGTGTATTTTGTATGCAATAAAATGATAATAGTTTTATAATTTTCAATGTAGCTTTTTGGTGGGTTGTAGGAAGAGAGGGTTTAACAGGTTATCATATTCAACAGCACAGCATTAAAACAAGCATAAATGGCAATAGCTGCACCCATGGCAGTACCCACCATTGAGGTCACCGAGGTCCGGACCTCGGTAATTTCTTCGAGGTGTATATAATAAAACTCGCAAAATAACTGCACATAATTAACAGGGTTCTTTGTAGTACTTCCATTTACTGGCAGTGGGGGCGCTGCACAACTAAGTAGCCTACATTAAAGCAAACAGAAGAAGACGACATTCATTTATCAACAAACAGCCACAGTCCGGACTTGTACCACAAACGCCAAACACCAGTGTGATTTTGGTGACAGTACGACTATCTTGGACAAAGTTATAGTGGGGGTTCCAAATCCGGCTGCACCAACACCTGGTCTGCCACATGTGGAAGCCCCCCTTTAGTTTCTCACCTGCTGAGCCCAGATTAAAATGCTTTTGTGTGCACAAACTACACGTGAACAACAAACACCAGTGTGATTTTGGTGGTAGTACGACCACCCTGGACAAAGTTATAGTGGGGGTGCAAAACCAGGCAGCTGCACCACCTGTTCTGCTGAACATGGGCTGTAGAGAACCGTGCAGATCTTCCCTATTGACACCAGGATTAACCTTACTAACCCTAACCAGCAGATCCTGTGTGAACACACTACGTTTGTCAGTGGACGTATGATAACATGCACAATAACTTATATTGGAGCTATAGGCTATACTTTGATTTAAATTGCATGAATAAAATAGCTAGAGAGCTAACATTAATTTCATTCATCCAATATCAGACCTTTTAACAAAACTTGCAATGCTTTTCTTTCATTATAATTTGAGTAAAAGGTTGAGGAGATAACATTGCATTGTTTTCTTTTTTCACTGACACAGATATAATTAAAAGACTATCAGTCCAAGCTCAGCTTTGGTAAGGGAGATACAGGACAGGCAGAGAGAAAGAGAGAAAGTGATGGAAGTCAGAGAGGGACTGCAGGGACAGCCTTCTGAGCCCAGGGTTGTATTTACATTATGTTCATGTGCTGTTCAACACAAACTATGTAGGCTTAATAACCCCATCTATCTATCTGCAAAGTAAAATGAACTATATTACTGAATTATTTGTAATACACTGGCAGGAGCGACAAGTGAGGAGGAGCATACATTTAACAATGAGGGATGAGTAAAGGACAGAGAGAGTAATGAACAGAAAGAAGACAGAGAGATTACTTTTCCAATGTTTTGTGAGCATTTTAGCCTCTTCTGCACCTCCAGATTATAATGTGGATCATTATTGGTAACAATCCACTGATTCTCATGACATGGTTTGAAATTAATATATCATCCAATTTGTGCCCCCCTACAGGACTTAAAAACAGATATCTAGATCATGAAAATTGGGGGGGCCTGCCCCCGAGCTCCCCTAGCATGTTTTGGACCTCGGTATTTACGAAATCCTGGGTACGGGCCTGGCTGCAAACACGTACACATGCATCCACCCATTCATGCCTCCTAGGTCAGGCATTTGTGATATAAAGTATTTGCAGGTATTGGCAAGACAATAAAATGTGATCCTGGTAGTCTAGTTTGATTTGTCTTTTATAACTAAGGTTAGAAGACTATCAGGGAGGTTGTTAAAAGTATGATGTTGAGCAACTCCTAATGTATTTTGGCACACAACTCTGTGTTTTTATTCCAAGCCACACAGAGCTCTCTTAAACATGAATAAGAGGGCTGCATTTTGTAATGTCTGCCTAAATGCATGGTCTCCATCCAGTAGGGAATCCCTTGTGCATTAACAAGGACATGATCCCTCACCAGTTTCCCATCTTTAAACAAGTCAGAGGTACTAGAATTGAATGGAGTTTCTGCGTTGGTGGGATAGTGTTAAGCATTGCATTAAAACACTTTCCGCTGCTGCCAGTGACCCTACTTTCGGGGGTTTTGTCTGTGCCGTGACCCTAGATGTCTTCTCAAATTATCTTTTACCTGCACATGTGCATGCAACTACAATACAGCTTCTTGAACAGCTGTGTTTTGTCCATGCTTATCCTCCTTTCCAAACAAAAACCTTGTTCTGCTCTGTGATAACAAGTATAAATCAGACTCTCCCTGCCACTATCTCTCCTCTTCCCACCCTTCCCTTGTGCCTTGCAATTTAAAGAGCATGTCAATGTGGCTGAGCTGGCCTGACAGCGCTGATGAGGTGTAATCACCGTGGAAAGGCTCAGCTGCTCTCTTCGCACCCTGCCATTGAGCTCATTAGGCCAGGAACATGATGCTAAAAAAAATAAAGCAGAAGATAGGAGTAAAGCGGCAAAAGGGCTTACTATGACTGCAGCGTTATGGTGTGTTTACAGTGGACACGAGATGGTTTTGGGATAGGTGGCATTTATTCAGAAGCTGGGAAAAACAAATGTTCTCTTGCTACTACTGTATTCATTCATTAGTCTTACTTGTATGCGTCTTATCCTTCGCCATTATAGTCTAAGCTGTGACTTAAGAGCAGGAAATTAAGGACTGCCTTGACAACTAATTTAGTAAAAGATATTTACATTATTGTTTTCATTTATTTGATCTGTTGTAAATGGAAAGTGGAGTTAGAAGGAAAAATAGATAAATTATTTTCAAACATGTAATATAATACATTGTTTCTTGTGATTTTTGCATTCTGCCATTCCCAGAAGTAAGCTATTGCTAACATGGATAGATAAATAGATAGATAGTCGCTGTAGCGGTCATACATTGTGACTATTGTAGGTAAATATTTGTGTTATGTTTAATATCATCTATGTTGATATGGCTTTATTTTTATATATAAAGCCATGTTAGGGAAACTTCCATCCTACATCTGCTCCCTGATCTCACGGCGAATTGTAAGTGGCTACTGCCTGAGATCGCATGCTGTGGTTTTATTAAATGTGCCAACTGCTAGCACTGTCTTAGGGAAGATAGCATTTAGATGCGCAGCTCCACTGTCCTGGAATAGTCTGCAATTAAAATGGAAACTGAGCAATCTGGTGCCACCCAATGTTTTTAAAGCTCGGTTGGATGCTACTCAATCGGAAGCTGTTGGTACCTGTGCATGTGGATAGTTATGTAAATTGTAATCCCTGTAATGCTAATGTATGATGTCCTTTTGTTGTTCTGTTTATGTTTTTAATGTTTCATGTGGAACCTACTTGAGCAGGTCTCCCTTGAAAAAGAGGTCAATGATCTCAATGGGATACAACCTGGATAAATAAAGGTTTGAAATGAAATGAAATGTTACTCAACATGTTATTTTTCCTGCTCGGGCATGTGTCCTCCAACCGTATTCAATTCAACAATTTCAAAATAGTCCGTGGTTGCATAGTTCAGATTTATAGCCCAATACAAGCACTGAAAGGTTGCCACAATGGCGACAAAATGACTCAGATGTGGTGTGTTGCCTCTTCAGTCTCCTGAACGGGGCTGCATTTATGACAAAATAAAGCCTTATGAAAGGATCAGCACCCTACTGCCCTGTGCTTTGTGTTGCCTGTCCCTCTCATCTAACACGTCTCCCACAGAATCACAGGTTGCCTGATACCAGACCTCTCCTCCTGGGGGGGTGCAAATCCAATTTCACATGTAAGAGATTATTCACGCAGGTAGGGTGAAGGGTGCTAGGTGTGTGTGTTCGAATAGACTTCTTTAGAAACATGTGTCTGTTTATGTTGATTGTGAGAGAGCTTGGTGTGGGCACCGTGTTGCACAAGGGCACTTCCCACAAAGGGACGCGAACTCGCACACACTAAAATCTCTGGGGGTGAAAGGAGATGTGTGTGTGTTTTCTTTCATTTAACAGAAGGCCATCAGTGAGTCATTCTCCTAAAGAGCACCCTTGGGTATTTGTCGGGCTGACAAACAGCCAGTGGCTGTCCTCAGAACCAGGCTTACTGGTCAATGTTTAATGCGACGTAATTGGTTTTACTGGGCAACACAGCCTGCAGGATGACAACGCTGATTTGAAAACTAGCAGTTGAGGCTCTCCTTCTTGGTCTTTTGTTGTCAAAGTTTTGGTTGTAATTCATATTATCCACTCTGAGATGTGTTACTGTTTTATGGTAGTCATTACAAGGATTAAACTTTCAAGGTTAAGCCTTATCTTAACTGCAATCCCTTCTTTCTTTTCAGTGTCTCCTCTATTTAAATCTGCTCACATACAATCACAGTATATCAAAACTTCAATGTGATTTTGATACCAGAGTTGAGTTTCACCGTATCTGTCGTTCTCTCTCTCTCTTTACTAGAGAACCATGAGCACTGTGGAGGAGGAACTGGATCACATGATACCATGAAGACAAGCCTGCAGGTCCTGCGCCGCCAGCTGCTGAGTGAGTAGACCCCAGGGTGGGACCAGGGCATCGGCAGAGTGTCCTGGGTTTGCAACCAGAGACCCAGAATGCCAGTATGCATTATATATGCAAAGTCTAAAGAGAACATGTCTGGGAAAGTCCTGCTACTATGTTACAAATACGATTAGAGCAGCATAGAAAACACACACACAATGTAAACACACGTTTTACACGCTATGTAAAGACACTTTTTTAAGTGTTATTGCCCTTTAATACCACTGTATAGATAAAGTTCAAAGCACTCATAAATATTTATAAGGTTTAACCTTAACACATTATAAAGCCTCTTATAATGATGTATAAGGTCAATTATTATAAATACTTAATTGCTGGTTTTGCAAGGATCATAGCTGTATGATAATGATCATATTTGGGAAACATTATAAGTGTATAAGTAACTCTAGGAGATCATACATGTAAGGTGCTACAAATTAAAGTTCTGATGTATAGGCAGATATAATACATTACAAGCTGGTTATGAATCACATTAATTGGTTTGCTTTAAGTAGATTTTAACTATGATTATATAGTGTTATTAACAGATTATAATGGATTATTCAATACATTACTAGGCTATACATATTAGACATTGGCTCCGTAGGAAAGTGTTACTAAAAAAACTATAATAATAGACAGGTCTACAGGTCCATAAAAGAAGGGCCACAAAAACACATAGGTGAAACACATTGCAGGTCAGTGCCATTTTAAGAGCCCTCAGACCCAAGGTCTTGTTGGTATTGCATGGTGTTTTCTTTTGTTCACAATATATGGGATGGATGATAAAGTTTGTTGTACAGTTGCACAGCTGTCTGTGTGAGGGTTAGGAAATACTAGCCATCTGATCCAGAATGATCCACAACAAGTAAGCAAATGAGCGCTTATCCCAAACTTTGATCCTTTAAATATGCTTTTTGTAACCAGAAGTCTTGTTGCTCTCTCTTGGTGGTGGATGAAAAAAGTTCCCTTATTGCTGGAGGCCCTGAAAATGCCTTGAGGGAACCTAATATCTTGATATGAGATACTGTTCATACATTTCTTCATGTATCCCCTTAGTTCTTGTTAAAGTTGTAGTCTGTGCTGCTTTAAATTCAGAAGACAGGATCAAGGCTGTGTTCACAGCTCTGGCAAGCCACCAGCGCAGAATGTCACATGAATATGAAGCATGAAGGTCAGACTGGGACCCACCATGCTCCCGGACGGTTAGCTAACCAGGCTGATGATATGGTATGCAACCCCGAGCTCCACCTCAGGCCAGCGGAGCCAAAGTCTGTCTCTGACAAATCTGCCTTAATCTCACACAAGTGATAAACTCGGACTGGACTGCTGTGATGGAAGTGCCTTAAGCTGTAGCAGAGGTGGAGCGAGGTCACATTGAAGCGGCTCAATCTAAAAAAGGGAAGTCTGAATCATGACTGTGGACTTGCTTTGTATATTTTTATATTAAGACCATATTTCTGGTTTTGTCCAGGTCGATCCGATCTCTGAAAGCATCTCTTTTACAGTCGGAGATCCAGCTGAGGCCTGAGTTTCCTTGGGCACATTACACTTTCATCAGGGTTGCCTCTTTACAGTGTGCAGAACTGAAAGGCCCTCTTAGCTATACAGAGACATTTCCTAGTTCTCAGTCTTTACCAGCCATCTGCAGGAGACAGATGTGCCTTAACATCCTTAGGCTGCGAGCAAGCGAATGGATTCTGCAGATAGAAGAGAACTAAGATGAATGATCCCTCATCATGACAGGTGTCAGAGAGAGCAAAAATACTTTTCCTCTGGTTACCTCTGTGTTGTATTTTATTCTTCTGCGCTCCCTATAGACCTTTGCAAGCTTGTTCTGATGAGATAATAAACCTAACACAATTGAGATAACTTACTTGTTTCTTGCAAATTAGGTTTTTTTCTGGCACAAAGTCTGAGAAGCAAGGTAATTGCTTGCAAATGGTGTTTTGAAGGCAGCTTCTTGAAAGACAAATTGGTATGAAGTGTAAATGAGCACACAGGGCTTGAGTAACCCTCCAAATCTGACTTTGGCTTGTTTTGTATGATTAAAGTCTGCTACAGTATGTGGTTTCTTCAAGCCGCAATAACAGTAACAATGTTGAAATTCTTGGTAATTGGAAAACATTGACAGTGTCTGTGACTTGGTGTTAAACTGCGTATCTGCAATTTGGTGTTCTCTTCAAATTCCAGACAACTTCCTGTTTAACATTTCTCCTTCCTGTTAGATTATTTGCTGCTTTCACAGTAGCTAAATCATTATCCCAGTAAACAGCACAAGAAGTCTTTGTTGTTCTTGTTTTCGCATTCCCCTTCCGTCTGATTCTCCGATAAACGCGTCACTGTTCAAAGCTGCTGTAACCCGACAAACAATTTGTGGAGCATTCAAACAGGAAGCCATTATCCTGTTACGAAAGCCTTTCCCTCTTATCTCAGGCCTCACATCTGTAGAGCTCTCCCCACTCCGCCTCTCCACTACTCCACCCATCCAGGCCTCCGTCACGATGGTTCCAGCGGGCCACAGGATGTACCGTATCTGTCTGTTTCCCCCCACGGGACAGACACTCAGCCCAAAATGGCAGATAAAGACACCCAAGAGCAAACCATAGGAATGTGTCTGTTTGTGCTACTGTAAAGATGAACCTGTATTTAAACGCCCAGGATGTGTAATCGCCTCTACAATAGGAAGAATCCCAAAATAATCTGTGCTTGGGTTGTGAAGCTAGTCAATGGTTGAAGTAGTAGAGGTAGAGATAGTCATGAAAGTATAGTGATACGAAAGTTAGCACTCCGCCTTACAGTAGTAGTTAAAGTATTATTACTGTTAGCTACAAACGTTGTGTCTGTATTGTTAACAGTTGGGCTAGTAGTTATGTCATCTGTAGCCTACACAAATGTAGTACTTGTATAGGTAGTCATGGAAGTACTGGTATTAGTGTTAGCAGTAGGACGAGCAGTTTTAGCTAAACCCTAACCCTTATAGTATGCTAGTAGCATGGGTGGTTGTAGTGGTAGCAGTAGTCATGAACACCCAGAAGTACTAGTATAACTACTTAAAGTTGCAGCAATATTGTTATTAGTTTTGTAACAATGGTACAGGTGATAGTCATTGTACTGTAGTAGTTATATATTTTACTGTAATGGTAGTAGTGGTGATATAGTAGGCGTGCCCCTTCTGTTTATAGTGGATCTATTGAAGTGAGTCAGGGCGATAGCGCTCTGTCCAGGCGAGATAATCCAATTTTGCAAGCAGTTAGTCAGACAGCTCTCCATTCGGCCTGCTGAGAAAAGGTTTTGTCTGCCTCAAGCTGATGGATCTGATCTATTTCTGAGAGCAAGTCTAAGCTTAAAATTAAAGGTTCGGATCACCTTCTACAAATCTCCCCATTTAAGGCTTACGATTACTTTGATTTGGGTCTGTCAGCCTTTTTCCTCCAAAGTGAGATATGAATTCATTTTGTATGAGGGATCAGAGCCATTATGTGTGCACCAGTATGAAGTGATAAAGGTTCATTGGTATTCTGATGAGCATTGTAGATAAAGCCTTCTCCATTTGCCCTGAGGGATTTGGGGAGAATCCTATGGTGGGTTGTCGGCTGCTGTGAAGTGGTTGTGATTAGCATATAAGAGGGCCGGCTGGGTGGTGTGGAGGATATCCTAATTATAGCCAGGTTATGGTCAATGCTGGGCTGCCAAACAATCAGTAATGCATGTTTATCCCATTCATTAATGAGGTGGAAAATTATTTTAAGTTCATATCTTATTATTGTATTAAAAATAACTTAGTCATCGTTTTTATATCTTGCTAAAGGGCACAATGACCTAGCTGTTTAGTTGTGTAATTTATCATTTAAATAGGTAAATAATAGTTACCATTGAAAAGGTTTTCAGGACCTGGGGGAAGTTGGTATTTATTATAATAATAAAAAACGTTTAGGGCAAAAAAACGTGTAGCATAAGTAGGATTTAGTATTTCTCTTTAGATAAGAAAGTAGATATTTAATTGGTGTCTGCTTTTCGGTTAAAACACTGTCATTAAAAACAACTAGCTAGCTTGAGATTTTGAAAGTTTGAAATTAAATAAAAGTAATTTTTATATTTTAAAGCTTGCAAAGAAGTAATTAAACAAGAACATGAATTTAAGTAAATAAAGTATACCTCTATTTTGTAACTTATCCAATACAGGTTTTTCTCACTGTGTTGTATTCCTTCTTTTATACATTTAACCTTGGCTAGATTGTCATTGCCTTGATGCGTTTGGTTCCCTCTACGTATACAGTTCTTCCTTTATCCCTGTCATGCTGCCTGAGCAGGGAGATGACAGAGCAGTTACAGTTCAGAAGTACAGCCTGAACCGTCACGAGCCTTATTGATGGATGATTTTGCAGCTCCTATTTTTGGCTTCCTGTAGAGCATCCAATTCAAATATTGCCAATGCCAGCTGCCTGCTGATGATGCGACACAACGGGCCTCGCTCCAGCACTATGCTTCACTGGCAGATTGTCACATGTAAGCTACAACGTTCATAGCATGTAGCATGAGGTGACCCCTGGCAAGAAAGATAAATGTCCAATCCTCCATGGCGAGTAGCCCCAAGTACCACCCACTAAGTGCTCCATTATGATTGATTAGTGCGCCGTAAGCCATGTGGTTCTTCTCAAATGAAATCCTGACGTATCCATGGCATAAGTTTCATGCGGAATTTAATCAGCAGAAGTAAATGTTTTTTGTTTTTTTCCACCAGTGTAACTTTAGATTCAGTGGCAGGCGCTCTGGCCAGTGTCTTCTGACATTGAGTCTAACAATGAATGATTGGTGGGACAAAGCCGGCTTTGGATCAGTTCTCAGGATCCTGCTTTGCAACATGATTTATTGATGTCCCTGATGGCATCAATGGAGGACTTCAACGAGTGTCACCAGCTTCCTATGCCTTCAAAAGAGCCCTAATTCAGCATGTTTTCCTGCATAAATTGCCCCTCCCTCCA